ATAATAGAAATGAAGTAATATGATTGCTTTAAAGAATGACCAACATATAATTAGACAATAAATAAACCAAACAAATGAATGTGCGAAAATTTAAAATACTAAAAGTTTTCAAAAAATTACATTAAAAAACTACGAATTGAATGTTTGATAATCAAAACCCTAAAATTACATTGTGTTTATTACATTATTCCATCCTTTATCAAAAAATACTTTATTTGTTAAAGTTAAATCGAATACATTGACAAATTTCTTTTTGTGGTATTTGAATAATTCAATTGATGATTATTTGCTTTTAAAGTAAATAAATATATTAAATAACTTTCTTTGAAACACAAAATGGTTAATTTTTGGAATGTTTTATATTTTCAAAAAAACACCCAATTATTATAATTATTGCAAATCCCGTTTTTGAATGTAAAGTTTTTTGAAATTCTGGAACTTCTTAGAGTTAGTTCGAAAATTTTGTATTAAATTTTTTGTGAATTACAATTGGGAAATATTGGGAATCTATTTCAAATAAAATATGTTTCATTTTTATTCTCTTTTTGATTTTTACTAAGTCCTGAATTATTGATCAAAAAAGAACATATTACAACAACTTCTTGTTAAATATCGGTTTATTTTCAATATAATCAATCGAAATAGTAAATCAAAACAATTATAATAAGAACTTGATACCAAAATATTTGAAAAAAATAACAATAAAGTTATGAATTCAATTTAATAATAAAAATTAAGCTAAAGATTTTAGATTTAATTAAACAATTAGTAATTTATGTGTTTTTGGCATCACCATATATTTTATCATCATTTAAATATATAATATTGTTTGAAACATATTAAAAATTATATTTTAATAATAATAATTCTTTTCTTGTTATGTTTAAATAAGAAGAGTTGTTTTTTCAAATTTTGTTGTTGTTTTGTATTATTTTCCTTAAAAGAAGTGAATGAGAAATTGTTGGATATTAAATAATTAAAAAAACACTATTATCTATAATTCCAATAACATTATCATTACAAAATAATTAGTTTAAAAAAAAAGAAATAAACCAACCAAACAATAAAAATGATATTTTAGAATAAAATTCTCATTAAAAACTTTAATTAATTTATTATTTTTTTAAAAAAACTACATTGGTCTTTTTGCAGTTACTTTGTTACTGGTTTTTTCATCTAATAAATAAATATATACATATATATATATAACTGTATAATGATTGGGTTGTGTTTATGATTCATTCCTTTTGATTTCATTTTTATTATTTTATTATATTATTCTTAATTTCATATTACATTAAATAACTTATGGATAATTGGATTCACATATTGTTCAAACATTGGTCAAAATGTGAACAATAAAAATCAGGTGATTTAAAGTCTTGAGACTAAATCCATTTTGATTGTCATTTATAATTAAAATGTAAATTATTGTAAATCACCCAAATAAAACGACTAAAAAATATCAAATTTGAGTCATTTAAATTTATTTTATAATAATTTGAATAAATCAATACAAAATCAACACACTCATTCTAGACATTATATAATTCTTTGAAATATCCACTGCATTATTATAACAATTCAAGTGTTGATTTTTGCCAATTTCGTCATGCTAAGACCTTTTTAAGTAAGTGTCATTATCGTGTATAACTTTAATTGAAAACACGTTAAAAAATAAAGTGTGAATTTAGATATAATGTTATTTAAATTAACGTAATTTATACTTTTATTATTTTCTTAATTTCAATATAATTTATTGTTATTGATATATTTTTGATTACCTTTTTTTGTATATGAAATAAACAAATTAATTGTCTTTAAAATCGGTTAATTTGTATTTATCAAATATGTACATATTGTGTAGTTTGTTTTTTTGGATCTCGACATGTTTTTGGCATTAATATTTCCAAGAGAGAGTTAGTTATTAATTTTTAATCTTTTTCTATTCAACCCCAAAAAACCAAAAAATTTTAAAAAAAACATTTGTATAAACAAAGTAAATTTCAAATGTGAATCACAAAGTTGTAAATTAACTGGGTTTTATTACTTAAATATATTTGATAATTAACAAACTTTATATCTATTTATCACTTTATATGTCTAGACCTACCCATTTATTCACTATTTTTATAATTTTTTTATTATTCATTTAATAAACATTATTTTTAAAATCTCAATCGACAATTAATAATCTCTACATTTACTATTAATACCATGTGAATTATGACAATTAACCTTATTTCAATGAACATTGAATGTTTGCTAATTTTAATTAAACGAGTTCGCATAATGTTTTCATTTTGTTTGTAATTAAAGACCACCACAAAATAGTCTTACACCTTCGATTTAAGTGTTAAAATCTTATTAAAACAAAAATCAAAAACATATATAAAATATCATTAAACATACAGGTTATTTTTTAATGTCAAAACCCGAAATAACAAAGTAAAAAAGAACAAAACCAAGTGTACAATTATTTTATTATGTTCTATGCATCTATTATAATTTTATTTTTTGTTTTATTGCTTATATAGTAATTTGTAGAAATAAGATTGAATAAAATACATTCATTTTAATAAAGGGTGTACTTCATAATTATTTTATATTTATGATTATTGCATTACTTTGATTGTTTTTTTCATTCTCAATAAATAAAAAACAATACCATGTTCAAACAAACAAAAAACGGTATTTAAATGGTATTTCTTATTGTAAAGATTTGAAGTTGATTTTATTAAACGATTATATGTTTCAAAACACAAATGTTCAACAACAAGTGATTTATTGTTTTTTTTACAAAAAATTTTTTTTATTTGAAAATTAATCATAATAAACATGAATAAATAATTAATTTATTTTATTTAACAATTATTTTTTTTGTTTTATATGTTATACAGATATTGCTTATTAATTGAAACTATGAACCAAATGTTTATTATGTTAAGTTTATTATGTTATAACAAATACATGAATAGGAATGTTTTGTGTGTTTGTTATATCATAATGTTGTTTTATACAAATTGTTATTTTTTACAATTTTATGATAAATTATTTGTTACCACGTCATGATAACAAACATTCTAATTTCTAATTGTAAAGTAAACTTATGTATTTATTTGAACATTTGTGTCACCTGATAATTTATATAAATAAATTCGTAGAATTTTGTTTATTTGTATTTTAAAAATATAATAACAATTACAGAAGGGAAAATGAACCTTAGCCCAGGAAATGTACTTTAGCCCAAAGAAATTCCTATATTTTTTTTTAAAAACACGGGTTTTTACTAAAAAAACAAATATTTTTGAAAATTGACTTTTATTTAGGTATAGTTTATTATTTTAATATAACAATAGAAATAAATTAGTTTTTCTTTGGGCTAAGGTTAATTTCCTGGGCTAAGGTTTAATGGCCCAACTGTACAGTTATGCAAATCTGTTTTTTATCAAAAAAAAGGTTTTTTGTTTGTTATTTACTTACAATCCCAAACTTAATTAAAACTTTTAAATAATTTAATTAAAAAATCCATATTTTTTGTATATTTGAGTTTCATCAACTATTTTTGTAAAAGAAACACAACCATATGTAT